TACCCTTTGTTCTCCCTGCATGAATCTACAATATAATCTGCTTCATGTTGATACTTACTGCTGTGTTGCTGACGATTACCTGAAAGAGAAGTTGGGGTGCTTCACTGGGCTGGAAAAAGTTTAGCTACATCAGAAAGCAGGTCTAACTAAGCAAGTTCATTCTATATATAAAAGGCTAAGTTGACTCGCGCATGCACGATACATATAACTCTCACTGGTGCCAACTGCACACGTGTTTCCATCTGTCCTTGTTGACTGTGAATTTGGTTGACACTTCTGTTATAGAGAAAGGGCGAATAGCGATATTAAAATATTTCTTCTAATTAATTTCCTTTCAATGTGCACAAATTCGTGCACCAGGCCACTAGTATGTATATAAACATGTATATACATAGACCATTGATTCCCTTAGAAAGCTCTCATTGATTTTTGCCAAACTTGTGTATTTATAGCCAACCTATGCTTGCCCTCAACTGACAGATAAGTGTTGTTCCAATGAGAATGCTGGTGATGCTTGCTTTTATGTTAGCAGGTAAGAGAAGCTCAAGCTCCCAGCAGCCCTGCCTTCCGGGCCGGGCACAGCTGCTGCGGCTCAGCCCTAAGTCCCGTAGCTCCCTTTCCCGGTGGAATCGCGGGGAGCCGGGCCCCTTCGTCCCTCACCAGCAGAGCTCACTCAGCAAGGGCAGCGCGGGAATGCGTCCCTCCTTGGGGACTGACAGTGAAGAAAAGAGAAACAGGAAGACGGCTCCACTGCCTCTCCGCGGACAGGCGCCCATCAGCCCTTGACATCCTGGGGAGGACAGAGATTCCCAGCAGGAACGTGGCTCCGGAGTGATGAGCAACAGGAGTGCTCACAGGCTGTGGGTAAAAAGCAAACTTGTTAATGTAAATACTGAACAAGGAGGAAAAGGGCCCTGGCCAGCTGGCTCAGTGTCTAGAGCGTCGGCCTGCGGACTGAAGGGTGGCGGGTTCGATTCTGGTCAAGGGCACATGCCTGGGTTGTGGGCTCGATCCCCAGTTGGGGGCGTGCTGGAGGCAGCTGATCAATGGTTCTCTCTCATCACTGATGTTTCTATCTCCCTCTCCCTTCCTCCCTAAAATCAATAAAAATATATTTTAAAAAGGGGGGGAGGAGAGAAAATCTATTTGGAAATCGCTTAGATGTAGAACTTGTTAAACGATGAAGAGTCAAACTCTCAATGTGGTGGGACAGGGTCTACACTGTGTCCTGGATGATGCTTCTCCACCTCCAGAGTGCGGGGAACAGGCAAGCGGGGGGGCCTCCATCTCCCAGCTTCCCAGGCCCTTCCCAGGCCCCGGAGGCTCGAGATCAGGTCGAGCGGAAGAATGTTCCCGGGGAAACGGCCCGACCCCACATGAGGAAAAATGTCCCGCCTGGATAGCACTTCACCTTATGGGCACACATGGGAGCCCATGCAAAGCATCGCTGTCTCGGGGGGAAAGTGGGTGCTGGAGTTTCCCATCATGCTTTGCTTTATCCCTGTCCTAGTCCAGGGTTAGAAAGACAGGCCAGGCCGGGTCACAGATCCCGTGAGGTGGTACAGCTTCGACACCCAGGTGTGATCCAAGGTGCACCGGCCGGCGTGGCTCAGTGGTTGAGCATCGATCCATGAACCAGGAGGGCACGGTTCGATTCCCAATGAGGGCACAAGCCCAGGTTTCGGCTCAATCCCCAGTGGGACAGGAGAGGGAAGGGGGGGGGGCGTCCAGGAGGCAGCTGATCAATGATTCGCGGAGGCCTGGCCAGCACCTGTGATGCCACCCCACCCGCCTGGCCCACCGCTCACTCTCCCTGGGCCTGCTCGTGGTCTCTGTCCTCCTTCGGGGGAGCCCCGTGGGCCCAGGGGAGGGGCCCCTGCCCCCCTGCTCTCTCCAGCAGAGCTGGGCTCACTCAGGCCGAGCAAGCCCGGCCCTGTCCCGCCCGGGCCCAATCAGGGCCTCCGAGGGGATGCCAGGAGCCCGGGCTCCTGGGTGCCGGCCGTGCCCGGCCAT